ACAGATTCTGCACCCCAACATTCAGGACAAAGGTCAGCTCTGCTGTGGTTTGAATGTTTGTCCCCTCCAAAGTTTTTGTTGGAACTCAATCCCCAATATGGTATTTGAAAGGTGGGGCCTTTAAGAGGTGATTGGATTGTGGTAACTATACCCTCATGAAAGGATTAATCCATTCATGGATTAATGGGCTGTCAAGGAGCTTTATAAGGAGAGGAAGAAGTCATGTGGGAATACGCTCTTCTCAGCCATGCGATTGCCTGCATCACTGCAGGACTCTGTAGAGTCCCCACCAAGAAGGCCCTCACCAGATGCACCCGCTGGACCTTGGACTTCTCAGCCTCCAAAACTGTAAGAAACACACTTCATTTTCTTTACAAATTACCCAGTTCCAGGGATTCTGTTCTAAGCAACAGAAAACTAAAACGAGCTCTCTGCCACCCAGTGCAGATCAAAAGTAGAAAAGTTCTGCGATTTCCACTGAGTCCGTCTAGGCAGGAGAACTAAAGCCTAGGACTCCTGACTTTTGAACTGGCACCATTCTTTGTACCAACATACACCCACAAGTATCTTTATAAGGGCAAATTACTCCCCATCCTCAACCAGGGGAGTAATTACATCCGGAATAATTAAATCATCATATGTCCTAGATTTGTCCTTTTTATCTCATCAGAAATGTAATTACAGGATGACCCGGACATACTGGTGGATACTTTGCCTGGAAATTGACCTCGTATCACCCAGTGTTTCACAGTAAACAACTCGGGAACTGCTGGAGTTGTGACTAGCTATTCTGCACTGGCAAGCAGCCAACACCCAGCCAGCATCTCCACAACAGCTGGGAGAGTGGAGGAGTGAAAGGGAAGGGGTGGGAGGAGAGGGCGTGATCTGCAAGGCAAGCTTGAGAGACCTGGTAGCACTCGTCTGACCTGCCCAGTCCCAGTGGCTGCTGAGAGCCTAGTGGGACCAAAACCCAGCGACATGTGTCTCCCACTGAAAGTGCTACAGCGTGCCCTGCTCTGGGTAGTAAATTACATCCTTTACCCGTCATGTCAGTGAGATTTGTACCCTCTGCCTGTGTCTGGTGGTGTCTTTCCATCCATCATGCTATGGTCATGTGACCACTGAGCAGTTTCCATCCAAAAAAATGGCAGGGTGGGTACAATCATGTGTATGTATGTGTGTATATGTACACGTGCATTTATGTGTCCGTGTACACCCACACGCACCCCGTATAGTGTTTTAAAGGTGAGACCGTGTTAGCCAACCACACATGTGGTCCTAGAGCACTTACCTCTCACGGTCATCAGACCTCACCTCAGCCCTCCCTGCACCCTCCTCATACTCCCACCACCCCAACCCTTCCACTCTCCAAGCAAAGCCCGCACTTTCACGCCCTGGACCTTTGCCACCTTTTACCTCGTGCTAAAATTCTGCTTAAGACTCAGCTCAAATACTGCACTCCCCCCCACACACAGACACACACACACACACACACTCTCTCTCTCTCTCTCTCCCCCTCTCTCTCTCTCTTCCTCCAAATCCCTGCTACCTTCCTTCAACCTCCTCTGGGATTTAGTGTTGATCACTCTGCATCTGCACCGCACTGGCCTGGAGCCCCCCTCTAGGGTGTCTCCCCCTTAATGCAGGGCCTCTGCTCCGCTCAGCTCTGTGTCCCTGACGGGCCTGGGAAGTATGCGCTGCTGCTGGCCAAACTCTCTGTCTCTCATTTTCCCCCAACACAGGGGTGCGTGGAGAGCGCGTTGCGGATCTTTCACCTTGACACAGTGGATCCGCACTGCCTGTCCTGTGAGAATGACGAGTTGGTGCCACAGGATGTGAAATGCCGTTTTCTCCGTTTTCACTCTGTAACATACTAAAGATTCGATTTGCATCTGCTGCCTGTCTGTCTCCCATAATCAGAATGTAAACTCCATGAAGGCAGAGAGTTTTGGCTGTTTTCTTCCCTGTTGAACCGTCAGCCACTGAGGTATAGTGCCTGGCACGTAGTAGGCACTCAATAAATCACTGTGGAATGAATGAATGCATTTGCCTCAGGCCAAGAGGAACAAGAGAGATCTCACAACAAAATCATCTCAGTCTGCTGAGTTTGCATCAGGGTTTAAGGGAGAGAGATGAAAGCAAAACTACCCAAGTTGCTATAGTATCCCAGCAATTCTAGGATTCCCCAAACCCATCAACAAAAAAATCCTCTAGAAATCCTGGGGACTGCCTAAGGCACATATGCCACCAGCAAGTGGGGATCTGTCCCCCAGGTACCCACCCCTCCGAGAACACACACACCACATCTGCATGTGCACAGCCTCTTCTTCCAAGTCTCCTCTTCACTAAATTGCCCTGAATGTGTGTTATGGGCTGAATTGTGCCCCCTGCCCCCATTCACATGATGAAGTCATAACCCGCAGTACCTCAGAATGTGGCTGTGTTTGGACAGAGTGACTTTAAAGAGGTAACTAAGGTAAAATTAGGTCATTAGGGTGGGCCCTGACCCAATATGACTGCTGTGCCTATAAGAAGAGGAGATGGGACACAGACAGCTCAGAGGGTGGACATGTGGAAACACAAAGACAGACCACCACCACCAAGCCAAGGGGAGAGGCCTCAGAGGAAACAACCCTGCCAGCACCTGGACCTCGGACTTTTCACCTCCAGAACTGTGAGAAAATAAATCTCTGTCATTTAAACCACCCAGTCTGTGGTACTTGTTATGACAGCCCTAAAAAACTAATGCAATGTGGAAAACCCCAAAGGGAAACGTGTTTTTGTTAAGGAGACCTTAGCTGAATGCAGGCCAGGAAACTTCTTGGTAAATGGTATGGACATTTAAAAACAGGAAAAAACAGAAACAAACGCATAATAATGTGTTGACATTTTTTATATTTGGTATTTGTAAGTCTTAAAAAAAAGTCCTTTCAGGCCATTTTTTCCTTTAAAAAAAAAAAAGCAACCAACAGCAATACTCTGTACAAGTATAATAAACATTAGAAATATGCATCATTCCAAAATAGTTACAAGAAAATTACAGCTTAGAGTCCACATTGACACTCGCTACTCATACGGCCCCCGAGGGAGAAGCTACAGCATGTGTGACACACGACTGCTACACAGTAGTCTGAAAACTCAGAACTTGGACTTTTGAGGCAAGTCAACATCATCAGTCACCATGACTTGCTTAGCTCAACAAGCACAGTCATTTCAAAAGAAAACCAGGCTTTTTCATCCCAGATGAAAAACAAATATGATCAGCCACATGGTCAACCTCCACCTCCCCAATCCACCCTCCCAGAGCTTCTGACTTTACAAAGCGCAAGTCCAGTGGGGTCAATTACACCAAAGTCCGGCTGGAGGTCACAACATGGGCACAGTGGACAGACACCGATGTCACTTGTTACTGGTGCCAAGGATCACTAGATTCAACTTTGGAGGTAAAAATTCCTTGTTCTTGGGAGAAGATATCAATGGCCCACATCCCCCAAACCAGCTGGCCCCCAACCTGTAGCCCTTTCATTGACAGCTAACCCCAGACTGGCTGCTTTTCTGCTCGCAGTTGTCAAATACTGAGCAGGGGATCCCACCATCCCCACAGTCCCACTGGACTCTTCAAATTTTAGTTTTGTTCCTGGGAGGGTTTGGGGCAGAAGCTCAGAAGCACCTTCCTCTTGCCTCTGACCAACCCCCAGCCTGTGTGTCCTTCATATTTACACGTTCATCTTCCCTTTTCAATAACTGTGCTATAAATACCCTCACCACCCCCACCGGTCCTGTCCCCCACCCTTTCCAGGATGCAGAGAAGCATCGTGGCCTTCGTGTGACCTGCCCATTGGGAATCCCAGCCCCTTCCACCATCAGCCTTCCCCCCAGGATTGGGAGGGACATCCCAGAGTGCCCTGCTGGTGGAAGGGAGGAGGGTTTCTGGTTTCTTGCATTTTTATACAGCATGTTTACAATTATGTTGCTTTTCTCTTTTTTAGGATTCTAATCTTTTAAAGGATTTTTTAGGAGCAAGTCCTTTCTTCTGGTTTCATGGCAGCGATGCGGCTATAGGGCAGGGCTTAGGACCTACATGGGACTCAACACTAGACACCCAACACAATGGCTTCAGACAAATTGGGGGGTCGAGGGGTGGCCTACAAACTGCTGCCTGAACAGGGACCTCTGAATGAAGTTATGGGCCTCCCCAAGACCTGCAGGAGGTGGGGGCAGACCAGCACAAAGGTATAGGAGCAACTGCTAACCCAGCTTCACTCAACACCGCAGTGACAGCGTGGCTTCCCTGACTCACACCAACAGAGCCAAGGCCCCCTCTGAAGTTGAGTCAAGAGGACCCTACCCGGCCTGGTCAACCCATTCCTTTCAGGGGCTGATACTAAATGAACTGCTTACTACCAAAGAATGCAAAGGATTCAGCAAAAAGTGCAATTTCCATCTGAGAAGTAAGATTCTCCCCTAAAACATGACACAACCACAACCTCTCCCTCTAATTCTTTCAGTACCTCAAAGGGAAAGAGGGACAAAAGATGTACAGCACTAAACCTCTGAATCACATCAAGGGCTAGAAGTACATTGTGGTTCACCCTTTATAACCCTAAAATTCTCATCAATATGTCCAGTCAGTTATCAAAGTGCCGGTGAGGTGAGGAGCATGGCAGCGTCGGGAGACGGGCTCCCAGAGGTCAGCAGTGACCAGGGCACTCGGAGAAGACCCTGCTCCCATTTGCAATAGGACACGTTTGTCCTAGGTTTACAGCAGAATGCATGACTGTGGAAAATGGCCACAGGTCTCCAGGGACCTGGTTATTCCTTCCTTCATAGGACCTTGTATTCTTCATTGCCTATTGGAGGATAAACTCAAAACTCAAAACTTCTTCAAAATATAACCTGAGCCACAATATAAAATAAAAAGAAACAAATCCTTTCATGTTAATGCCTTGAGAAGTTTACAGATTATGTACCAATAAAAATAAATCCACATAACTTCTGAAATTCTGGGTGCATACACACCTGAAGCAAAAAAAAAAAAAACAATTAATCTACATTAAAAAAATCAAATTACAGCAGCAGTATAGTGAAAGAGGTTTTAAAAATAATAATTACATCTTTGATACAAATTCAAACTTTATACACCTCAGTTCATAGGAATGACTGTTTTTAAGAGTTTAGTACATATATATATATACAGTAGATTCCGATATGTGTCACTGCAGAGACTAAAGCCAGTGGACTTTGGGGGAGGAGGGATTAATCGGACACAGAGTTCACACTGAAGTGTTCACAGATTGCCACGCTTTTAAAAACACACACGCACGCACACACAGACACACACAAAATGCCAACCTGAGTAAAACGTTGCTAAAAACCTAGAGTATCATGAATCACTAAGTCACATATTGCACCTTTAAATAATCCTTCTTACCAAATACAGAAACAAGAAAAAGGATAAAACAGGGACAAGAAAAACATTTATGTCACCAGAGGTTTCCTCTGCTTCTCCTACCCCTTGCCCACAGAAATTCTCAAGGTAATATTTAGTTTCCATTCTCACCCAACCCCATGGGCTGAAAATGTTGCCAACAGAAGAGTCTTTGAAGAAAACTGGGAGGGAAAAAGGAAGAAAAAATGGAGCACAAATATATGGGGAGTGGGGGGTGGGGGTAAAGAGTCCTCCTCTAATCTAATGAAAACAGGAATGTTGCTGCAAAGGCTAATAACCTCTGATGCTAAACTACTGTTTAAATATTCCATATATTCCAATTATGAGATTCAATACAAAAATAGAGATATCTACTGAGTTTTGCCTGTGGAAGCATAATTCAGAAAAGGCACATGTTCAAATAGAAAATCCATTCAGAAGAGGCACCACATACCCCTTCCTACACAATAATCATCCACAATTAGATATTTTCCATCAGCTAGATTCCAAGATACAGTAGGTAAAAATAGACCTCTGATACTTAAAATATATTCAACCCAACACAATCCTGGCTTTAGCATGTGAATCATATAAAATAGTCTTTTTTAAAAAAAGAACCTGTTTTGAAAAAGGAAAATAAACGTCATAGCTCACTTTTCCTGGTTTTCCACGATACTCAAGAAAAAAAAAAGTGAACTCATCCCATTGGTCATCAGGAACGCAGCTAATTTGCTCCCCACCATCCACAGCCCCCGACAGCCCCAACTTCTCACTCATCTTTTTACATGTGCAGCTTCACACCCTCAAAATTAGTTCTAACAAAACAGCACAAAGAATTAAGATATTAGACATAGAAAAACATGTCAACATTGGGGCATTTTCCTTGGCTGTGGGTGAGAGGGTCTGGTTAACTCCAGAAAGGTTTTCCTTTGGAATTAGGTGATGTAACCATTTGTCTTTCCAAATGCAGTCACTGGTGCAAGGTTTTCATAGATTGTCATTGCGGTTGTGTTCTGATAGATGAGATCTACTTTTGAGTCTTTCTGGGATCTGATAATATCCAAAACACATTGGTTGAGGAAAACATACTGGTCCTGGTAGAAAAAGGAAGGAGACAGAAAAATTGAGCACAGGTCCCAGAGATTAGCACCCAAAATTATTTTCAAACAGATCACCACCACCACCCCCAGCCCCCACTACCCCCCCAAAACCCATTCACCCAACAACAAACAGTTCAAGTTAACATGTTTCAAGAGGTAACGACATTCTGGTGAAATTTGAAACCACAGAGAGCAAGATTCTCTTTCTCAATGATTCTCAACCAGAGGGGCACACGCCACACCTCCCCTCCCCAAGGACAAGTATCAGAATCTCGGGGGAAGGGCAAAGGAAGAATGTGGAAGAAATAATGCACACGTGCATTCAAACAGTAAAAAGTCCATCAAGGCTTTCCTGGCTAGTGAGGCTGTGCAGAATAAGAGTAAATTGCAATTCCCAACCGAGGACGTGGTTAAAAGGATGGTCAAGTAGAATCGGATGGAGACCACCCTTCAGGCAAGCGTATCAGAATCTGCAAGAAGCCATGAAAAAGAGGAAGAAGGGTACACGCTGACACAGAAAGATGTCGATGATACTGTAAGAGAAAACATCACGGAGAAGCATTATGCATAAATACTCCGTGTGTGCATGTGTGTATGTGTGCATTTGTGTGTCTGTTTACAGATGAACACAAAGAGGCCCATAAGGATGTATGCCAGGGATGGCTGGTTAGTTCAGTTCGTTAGAGCACGGTATTATAACACCAAGGTCAAGGGTTCAGATCCCGGTATTGGCCACCCGCCAAAAAAAAAAAAAAAAGATACATGCCAAAGTGTAAACTTTGGCTACCTCTAGGGAGAAGGATTGGGGAAGAAAAAGAGGGGAAAATATTCGATATAGTCCCATATTGTTAAGTTTTTCAATACGAATATTATTTTTTCCAAAACATAAAAAAGAGATGAGGAAAAAAATTGTAGGCAGTTATAAGATTTCTGTGTTTCTCAAAAGCGGAGAAAAGATTGAGAAATACTACTCTACATAATTAGAGCAGAAAAAAGAAAATCCCTCTTCTGACCAACACAGGAGGTGAATTCCACTCTTTCTACCACAACCATGCAGCTCACCCCAAAGCACACAATGTACCCAGGCCTCCAGAACATTCCCTGTTAGACTCAAAACACAGTACATATTCATAGAGTTCTAAATTGGTACAGAGCAACAGCCTGATACAAAATTAATATTCTGCTCTCATCCCAGTGAACGCACATTCACCCTGTGAGGAAGGTTACTTCTCAGTCTATCCTGTTGAGAACATGCCCTGAAGACACTGTTTATCAGGATCATTTCAGGGAAAGCCAAATCCAACAGTCTTACACAAATGACACCGTAAACATTGAGCATTCATTTTGTGCATTGGCCAGCTGTCCTCCTGTAGCTATGGGAAGTGATGTTCTTTAACATTTACGAGGCTAGGTGAGGATAAACTGCTGTATTAATGCTTAAGCGGCATTACACTATTTCATATCATTTATGTTTGATAAATCTGTTTCACTAGCTAATTTTAAAGATGATCAGACTTTCTTAGAAACGAAGAGTGAAAAATACCAGTTTTATGAGTTTAAAATTCAGAAATCAATGTTCAGAGACTTGCGAAGATTACGTATTTGATAAGTCAGAGGGAACAAGGTAAGGAATCCTGATACTACGTGGGTTTGCAGTTCCATTACTGGTATCAGTACCACTGTGCCACTTGTACCAGGTAATTTAATTCCGAGTCAGCTTGGATCTGCAAAGAAGGCTGACCAGCCAGCTCAGCTGCTTAGAGCATGGTATTGACAACACCAAAGTTCAGGGTTCAAGCCCTGTTACCAGCCAGCTGCCAAAAAAAAAAATAAATGTAAAAAAGGGATCTGCAAAGAAATCCAGTGTTAGTTCACAGCCAAAGAGTCTGAAAGATCTGGAAGTGTGAAATATTTTAACCCAAGTATGTGACACAACACAACCCTACAAAAACAGATGGGGGGGTTGAATGGCAGATCCTGGCCTCACCTCTGTCTGCACCATTAAAGACCTGTGCATTCGAAGGTCGTACACAATCCCGTACACATCCACAGTGTTCTCGTTCTCTATCTGGTAGATCAGACGGTCAATGGCAATGAAAGTGCCCGTCCTTCCAACCCCAGCACTGAAAGAAAAGGGAAATAAGCACATTCCAGTGGGCTGCATCTACTGTAAACCGCTCACATTTCCCCATGTGCACGTACATCTTGCTTCTATCCATTATCACACTTTGAGGGCAGTGCCCAGGATCAACAGACATCTGCTCAATTGAAACCTCAGCAAGTCAAACTGCACTGGCTTGAGACTGGGGCCTAAGTCCCAAACTTCCTTCTGAGTCAAATGCCACCAGTAAAAACCTTGCTAGAGGTTCTTAAATCTCATTCCCATTTGAGTTGCTACCACAACCTAGGATGGCAAGTTTCATCAATTTATTCCCCATCAGGCAAGAAAGCCCCTCCTTCCTTATGTCCTAAATTAATGCCTTTACCTTTAAAGCTAATTTCTTATAGTTCTAGAGTAGGGGTGGGCAAACTTTTGCTGTAAAAGGCCAGATAGTAAATATTTTCAGTTTTGTAAACCATATGGTTGTTCTCTGCCACTGTAACATAAGAACAACCATAAACACTATGTAAAAAAATGGCATGGCTGGCTTTGTTCTAATAAAATTTTACTTATAAAAACAGGCAGCTGACCAAATTTGGCCCACAGGCCACAGTTTGCCAACCCCTGTTCTAGAGTCTCAAGGTTTAGGGAATGAGTTCATGGTCCCTTATCCAAACCTTTCTTGAATTTGTAAGTGTCTATTGCATTCCCTCTTATGCCTTGCTTTTCTAAAGTGCCCATGAATATATAATTACATTTGAAATCTATCACACACAAAACTCCATCTGCGTACCTGCAATGCACCAGAATTGGTGATTCGGGAGGAATCTGCTTCATGTAGTCACGAACCAAGTACCGAAAGTTGATGAGCAGGTCAGTGGTGTCAGGAACACCGTGGTCTGGCCAGGAGGTGAAATGGAACTGTCGCAGAGAGTGACTCTCACTCGTCTGGATCTAAAAGTCAACAAAAGGGGTTAGATCCAGAGAGAAAGGCTGCCTAACAACATCCTAAAGGAAAGTGAAATCAAGCAGAGCCTGAATGCTGAACTGCATGGGGTAGATGACAGACAGCTCAACAGGAATGGTGACGACTAAAAATTAGAATTTTATATATATATATATATATATATATATA